CTACCAAAGTTCTGGGTTTACAGGTATGCACCATCACACCCGGTTTCAAAAAAACTGAAAATCACAAATTCTTTTTAGAGCAGGGACAAAGAAAGATGGGGATGTAGCTCAGTAGCAGAGCATTTTGCTCAGCATGCAAAAAGCCTTGGGTTCATCTCTAGCATGCAAAACAAACAAACTAATGAATGAATACAGTTATGTTACATCTACACAATAGAATATTACTATGCAAAGCAAAAGAATGAGCTGTCTTCATACTCAACAACAGGAACAGATCCAAAAATAAATATGGTATATGTGCCTCCGCAGGATGTTTGTGCTTTTTTTCTGTTTTATTCTTTCTTTCTTTTTTTATGTCTTTTTGAAACGGGATCATGCTATGCAGATCAGGCTTGAGCTCGATTTGTAGCCCAGGCTGGTCTCAAACTCACAACAATCCTCCTGCCTCTGCCTCCCAAGTGCTGGGTTTATAGGCATGTGCCACCACGCCTGGCTTTTGTGCATTTCTTTTTTCTTTCTTTAAGTACTTAGTACAGGGTCTACAGGGTCTTGCTGCATAGATCGGACTCGTAGTGATTCTCCGGTTTTCAGCCTCCCAAGCGTTGGGATTACAGGTGTGCGCCACCACACCCAATCTCAATCTACGGCTCAGCGCGCCCTGGGGGCGGGGCTGGCACAGCAGGCTGTGGATCAAACCCCAGCTGCTGAGCTCTGCCTAAGCAGGCGCGTTAGTCCGCTAAACTATCTGGCTGGCCCATCTTGTGCTTTTCTGATACCAAGGATTCTCTATATGTGGAATTAAAGCTGCCAGGTTTCCACATGAAAGGAAATAATATGAGCATAGGGCCATTTCTTGTGCAGAATCGTCACTCTGAGGAAAGGAGGCTGGGCCAGGAAACCTTCCAGTGGTAGTTTGGAGGTACACAGTACCTGGAGGAAATCGGGGATGGATTAGTCTTCCTCTTTACTGATCTAATCACTTAATCACTTATTCAAATGCCTGTATGATGGTTTTTGTGTTTATTCTATTTTTGAGACACATCTCACTCTCTAGCTCAGGCCGGCCTCGAACTTGTGGCAATATGCGCTAACTTTTTAGTTTATTTGTAGACTCCTCATTCTGTAAATGTTTATAAATAGATTTTTGGAATGATAGTCCCATAATATAATTCTCTGCTATTTGGAAGAAAAAAAAAAAAGAATCTTGGATCAAATGACAATTTTCACTATCCGGAAAACCTCATAGCTCTTAAGATGTTCCGCTTTACAGTCGAGAGACTGGAGGCCCGCGCTGCTTTTCAGCTGCCCCAGTAGCTCGGTTAACTTTCCGACCTCGCGAATTGTTCCTACTGCCGCCTCGTAGAGGGCTTTGCGCGAATTGTCCCTGTTGCCGCCTCGTAGAGCGCTTTGCGCGCGGCACCAAGCCCGCCGCTGATTGGTTGCGCTGCGCGCGCTGCGGCGTGCCCGGCGCCCGCGCTGGCTTGCTCGGCCGGTAGTAGCGATGTCCAGTCGGTATAGGCGGGAGTCTCGCGGTTCCACTCGCGGGAAGCGCGAGTCCGAGTCGAGGAGCAGCTCGGGCCGCGTGAAGCGGGAGCGGGAGCCCGAGGCCCCGAGCTTCCGGGGCAGCCCGGTGCGCGTGAAGCGAGAGGTCGAGCCGGCGAGCGTGCGCGACGTCCCGGTGTTCCCCATCGCGGGGGTGCGGGTGAAGCGGGAGCGCGAGGCCGACGAGGACTCGGAGCCCGAGCGGGAGGTGCGAGGTGCGCTGGGCCGGGCGGGGCGCTGTTTCCGCCATCGTGTCTTTTTCTTTAAGCCTTCCTGTGCTTGCCCGCCTAGACCGCCTAGACCGCCTAGACTTGACTTCGTGTTAGTGAAGACGGTGCTAAGTCTAATTGTGGTTACAGTATTTCTAAGCACAGTAGCAACAGCGTCGTCGTCGTTGTCCCTTTACCGGGTGCCTAACTTGGGCCGGGGATCGAACTCAGGCCCTTGCGCCTGCCAGGGAAGCGCTAACTCCACTGAGCCATCTCCCCGGCCCCCTCCTCCAGTTTTTACAAACTCCCTAACTTAGTACGGGTCTTGCTGTAATTTCTGGAATCAGACTTTCGCAGCTGACGGCCTGACTCCTGGACACCCGACTAAAAAAACTACTGGCTATGTACCACTTTTTAGCTCGAAGAGTTTTAAGAAGCTATTCTCCATTGGTTTCTGCTGTTTTGTTTTTGTTTGCATACACAGGAGCCAGAGGCTGCTCTTACTGTGTTGTCAAGAATGTTGGGGTAGCAAACAGGACGGGTGGGAGCAGCTTCCCAAGAGGTTCGGTTTCTCTAAGCTTAGCGTTCTTCAGTAAGGCAATCCATTATGTACAAGTGTTCTGATAGTGTTTCCTTGTGGGAACTGATTCTGGGAAACTATACCAGTGGTATATTCTAGCTAGTTCTGTTGCTTTTTATCTTTTTTTTTTTTTCTTTTTCTCTCCCTACTGGGGATTGAACTCAGGACTCTGCTTGCCAGGCAGGTGCTACTTCTGTTGCTGTGATAAAACTGTTCTTTGTTTTAGACCCAGTAGTCTTAGATCTTCATTAGCATCCGTGAAACTAACAGGCTAACATAGCTGGAAAGTGAAGTATGAAATCTCAGACCCTTCATATTTCTTCACAAGTAGTAGATTTGTCAGTGAGAATGCTGGTACAGGTGAAGAGGTGGGAGCACACTCTTTAAGCCGTATGCCTGTGTGCTAAGTTTGGTAGTGCACACCTATAATTCCACAGTTGTAAGCCCAGGCAGGAGGATTGTAAGTCTGAGCCCACCCTTGGCACAGTTTTTTTTTTTTTTTTTTTTTTTTTTTTT